ACAGTACCACCATGAGCAAGGCCTTGGCGACAGGGGCAAGGAAAAACCTAGGACAGACCCTTTGGCTCTAGGTGGGTGGCCATCTACCTCGACCAATGTATTGTTGTCAAGTAGTCACAGGCAAGCATCATTGGTTATGGCATTTGTTTCTCTTTCAAACAAAACCTGTATGCTAACAGTTAGCTATGTATCCTTTATTGATCCCCTGCATTTTACCCATCCTAAGTGTGAGGATCAGTGGGCAGCAACTGTACAGTGTCCCGGAGCCAACTCCAGTTCTGAGCCAGTGCCTTGGTCAAAGGCAAAGACAGGAGAATTAATCTAACATACATGTTTTTTGATGGTGGGAGAAGCCAGAGCACCTGGAGGAAATCCAAACATCGGGAGAATATGAAAACGCTGCACAGTAAGCTGGGATTCGAACCCAGGACCTCGTTGCTGTGACACGACAGTGCTAACAGCATCAGCACTATTTACCATTTACATTACATCACTGCTTTATTACACACACCTGTTTACGAGGGCTCACAGTCAGTTTAGGTCAACTGTGTGCGATATTTAAGTGTTGTCCGTTTCAGCCCTCACGTAGGCCATCACTCAAACTATTCTCAGACCAAACAGTATCATGTTGACTCAGGGTTATATTGGCCTCCCACTCATGTGTGTTCACGTGTCAGGCAGCATTGTTCCATTGTGGCTGTGCTATCTCAGTGAGCCATGCTGCTGGATCTGTTAGTGCCTCAGCTGAACCATCCTGTGACCCTATAAAACCTGCAGTCAGCCATTACCACACCAGGGTCTCAGGGCAAACAGTGGACTGTGTCTTTCTGAGTATCTCACATTAACACACACTGTGTAAGACCAGTTATCCATACTTACAGATCCCACCTTAACATTATGGAAGCCAATTTCCACAAACGTGATAAAAAAGAAAACCTATAATGGCTGTCTCAAAATAATGACTTACTATCTCAAAATAATGAGAAACTATCCTCAAAATTAGCTCAAAATAATGCAACGAAAGCCAAATCAACAGAAGCAAGTGGCTGACACAATAATCTCTGCCAAAGCTTGTTCTTTTGTAGCTTTCTCTCCAGAGTCTCACCAACTTGCTTCTGTTTCTTTTACTAAGTCATTATTTCGTTGTAATGACTTACAGGATCTGTTCTTTTTTTATCAGATTGGCGGAACCATGAGTCTGTGTGGATATCTATCAGCAGCTTGCTCTGTTGGTCGGTTGGTCAATAAGTAATCTGCAAATTATACTACAACCAGTTGAAACCTGTTAACTAAACGCAGGTGATCACCATTTAACTAAGTGAGTGTCCTATTAAAGTAGGTGAATACTAGTATTTGTAATTCTTTGTAATATCACTTTTTGAGATATCTTTTTTCCCTTTGACATTAAAGGGTCTTGATGGTCAGTGTATAAAAAGCCACATTAAATTTAACATCAATGTTGGAAAACAATAAAAGCCTATTATATCTATTTATTCTCTGATCCAGTCAGCGAGACGGAGGGAAAATGACGCAAAGTTAAAGTTATTTTAAAAGCTGGAGGCCCTGAAGCCACACTGCCCCTGGCACCTGCCCTTGTTTGACTTGGATGTGCAAGCTTTCTCCTGTTTCATATCTTTAAACAACACACATAAGAAATCTTGCTTCTCTATGGTCAAGAAAAAAATGACACTTCTCAAAGGTTCTTGTAAGTTATTTGTAATAACAGGTGAACTAAGATCTTCATAATGCTAATGTTTATGTTTGCAGTGAAGTAGTCACACTTTTCTTCCCAAGCATAAATGTACCTGTGCTTAATCTTAGGCCTTGATCAAATGTACAGCAAACGTTTGAGTCAAAGCAGAGGGAAACCAGACATAATAAATAAAAAAAACTTTATTGGTATGAAAAACAGATTGTACAGTATTTGCACATAGCACAATATTTACAACAAACGCTCCTCTCATTAAGCACAGTATGTGGGTGGAGTGGCAGATCAGACACACTCAGCAGATAACAAGTGGTGCTGCACAGCAACTTACCGCAGCCAACCAATGCTGCCTTCGGGGACTTGTTGTAAACTCCCAACTTCAAGCTCTGAAGTCCAAACTTTTGATTTGATAATATGAACAAAACTAAAGTTTTTTCTGTCTGCTGTTTCCCTTTTTCTTTAACAATTCCTGCGTTTGATGGGGACTCAGGAAAACAAATTGGAAGATCCCTGGGGAACCACAAAACCATTGCTCTGACTGACGTAATGTACACTTCACTTATACCACATACTGTATTGCTGACTCCATTTCCACACTCTCATAACAATGGGTGGGCTTGTCCAAGGGCATACTAAGCAACATTTCCGGCAGCACTTGAAGGCATCATCAGTAAGCAGCACAGAATGGCAGGTTGTCAGTAAAGCTTCAGATTATGTACATGTGGCGCAACTCAGTGGTGCAGCAGGAGCAGCTCCCTAATAAATATCTCAAGTCACTCGGGGTTGACCCCTTTAGGAGGCGTGCAGCCTGTTGGCCGTGCTCCGCTGGCTGATTCTGTGAGTCTTGGAGAGGGTCATGCTCTGGGTCATGGTCCCACTTTCATGAGCCAGCTGCTCCTCATCTTCCTCCTCCTGGCCCTCCACACTGCTGCGCTGCACCTCCGCCTCAACAGTTCTCTGCTCCCTGGCCAACATGAGGACCATCTCCGCATCCATCGTGTCACCAGAGGAGAAAGGGTGGCAAACAGTCTCGACCAGGCCGATGACAGTCCCCAGCAATGCAAACACAGAGCCCACTAGGTAGACCTTCAGCAAACCACGGCTGGGTTTCTGACTCAGCATCTCTTTGGCGAAAGGGATCAACTCCTGCATGCTTTCCATTTCCTCTGGTTCTGCAGTGAGGGTTGTATGTGGACCTGTTAAAATATATCAGTGAAGAACAAAGTTATTTGAAGCATTCATTCTGTAAAATTAGCCCATTAGATAGTTCCAGCTGTTTTTAGATGTGCAGATATACCATTTGTCTGTTTCATATCACTGTACTATTTAAACTGTTGCTCAGACTAAAGAAGCAGTTAGAAAACATGACTGTGAACTCTGGGAACTTGTAGTCATTAGACTAGATCACATATCAGCTCTGATATTTGCACCACAAGTGCAGCAGCATTACAAACTGCCCAATGGATTGACACATTATAAGACATTCAAATTTAAGCTACAGTTTAGTCTAGAATAAATCAAAAAAATATTTTAAATGTATGTAATAAAGCCTAATCCCATTACTGTGTTTAACACACGTAGCATACATTATCTACCACTGATGTCTGAAAAGGAAAAACGATAACTTACCGTGATGTGGTTTGTTCTTTGTTGTAGTCACAGGTTCTCACTATGAGTTCCAGTTTGTGGCATGAACACACCTTTACTGGACACTGAGGTCATTTATAGCCCTACTCTCTCCACCCACACAGCTGAATATTCATGAAGCACAGAGGCCAGTTTCTGGAAACCAAAAAAAAAGAAGAAAAAAAGCCAGAAACTTTCACCCAGTTGTGTGTAGGCTTATTACACAGTCAGCACTGTCACTAATGTTCTCACTGATATTCCATTAGGGCTTGTGTAGTATTCAAAAGTGAGTTACTTTGAGTTCAATTTAATAAAACGTTGTCAGAATTTACATTGTGTATATTGTAGCCTGTTAACCAGTGAAGCTATGGTGGTCATACTGGTGCTAATACCATATTGTACAGTATGTATACAGTATTATACCAACATTATAGGAATTGTTGATAAAAAAACAGAAAAAGACAAATGAAGACAACATATATATTAAATATTTATTTTTTATCCCTCTTTATTTGTTTTTATTTTTACTAGCCCTCTCTATTTTATCTAGTTTTCTAGTTTAGCTTAAGTAGCTTTTTAGTAAACTCTATTTTTTATAATAGCTGTTAAATCTATTTTATTGTTGTTGGTTTTTTGAGTCATGCAAAATGCAACAAATATACAGAAAAAGTTAGATGAGAAGAGTATAGCCCCCCATGTTCCTGCTCCAACATGGGGGGGTATACTATTAAAATATGACTGTACCATTAAGTAATCAAGCATAATTAATTTATATGGATGGTAAATGGACCTGTACTTGTATAGCGCCTTTCTAGTCTTCTGACCACTCAAAGCGTTTTTACACT